CCCCTCCCCTCCCCTCCCCTCCCCTCCCCTCTCCTCTCCTCTCCTCTCCTCTCCTCTCCTCTCCTCTCTCTCTCGATACGTTTTAATGTTGCTGTCTGTTCTTTGGTACAGTGGTTTTAAATCCTGAGAAAAAACAGATCAAGTTTTTAAAAACAGACCAAAAAAAATTGCTTTAAGAAGATTTTATATTATCAGGAAAATTTTGGAAAAAAAAGTCAGGCTTCATTCAAAAGAAAGAGGAAAACATGTACTATTTCTACTCAGTGCCAGTTCACTATTTCCCTCTGACTAATTGGGAAATGGAGGAATTCTTGAAACTTTTTTGTTATTTAAAAATTGCCCCCCCCCATTTTTTACTTTTGATCACTTGTTAGTGAAACTTTGTTCTAGATCTGAGAGCGGTAGGTGGATTTCGGCAAATATAATGTATTTGTGATGAATCCATATGGTCGATGTTACAGTCTCCCTCCTGTAGAATGTTGCCTTCCATTCAAATTACTTGGAAACTCTGAGCTTCCATAAGTCAGCTAAATTGAAAAGGTAAACTTCATGGTTGAAGAAGTAAGGCACTTGACCACAAAACCTCTTGTAAAAGCAGCCCTCAGTACGTATTTCCAGTGCTCCACAAAGATGAATCCTGAGCCATTTTTCACCATCTCAAAAAGCCTTAAAAATCATGTATTTAACCATGCAGACAAAAATGTTCAAACCATAGGGCCTGTGAAAGAGGTCAAAAGTTTGTGGATTTGTGGGTAGTGCCAGGGTCGGGGCTCCTTGGCGGGACCCTAGAAACTGGGGTCAGAGTCCCTGTTCCATCACTGATGCTGTGTGGTTTTGGCAAGTCCCTCCCTCTTCTTAATTCTTTGTTTCCCAGTCTGCAGAAGTAGGGGCATGGCCTCGATCATGGTCTTCAAGGGTCCTTCCAACTCCAAGAGTCCAAGTCATCATGAACAACCAAGGACCCATGTCTGCCCTGGGATCAGCTTCCAGAACTAACCCCCAGCATCTCTACAGCAGAGGTCTCACATAAAGGGCCACTCAGAAGAAAGCACCTTCAGAATGAGTTGTTGCTTTGATATCTAATAAGCTGAGTTTCCTGAGAAGTGGTGTTTTGCTTAGCCCTATGGACAGCTTGTATGCATCTGTGTGAACAGGTGATCATTCTATTACCTTTTATTGGTAGTAAGCTTGGAAAAATAATTTAAATATATAATGCAGAACTGTAAATAAGTTTCTATATGAATTTAAGATAAACTGAATGTATTTAAAGGTCCATTTATATGTTCTTTTATGTAATGTGTAGTTTAATAAAGTTCCTGTTTATGGGATTTGTGTTTTCTCTTTGGCTGCTTCTGTAGTTACGTGTACTGTGTGATCCCAGTAAGAGAGTGTGTCGTTTCCTGCACAGAGAGAAGGCGGGTTGCAGGAGGTGCCAGAGGGCTGGGATACAGCAGTCCTATCTTCAAAGGGCTCGAGAGCCGAAATTCAGCTGTTGATGTGTATCTTCTTGGGAGCACAGAACCTGCATTTAACTGAAGGCCCAGGGAGTGGGCCTTGCGCCAGACCTGGGATGTGGGCATGCATCTGACACGTGGGCCATGCGTGGAATGCTCAGCACCTCATACACGCTTACATTGTTCCATGTTGTGGACCAAGCTTTGTGTAATCTCCGTGGGGCCAGCAAGTCTGGATCTGCTCCTGTGTGTTCTCATGTGTTTTGGCTCAGGACACTGTTGGGAAATAGCAGCTCACCTCTGTGGCTGCCTCAGGAATAAGAGAGGGAGGGAGGTGTGCTTTTATTTGAAACACAGTGTTGGTTTGAAAAGGGGGATTGTGTGTAAGATGAGCCTCATACCTTGGGGTTTCCTATCAAGTTTTCGTCCTAGCTACTCTCCCGGTTTAGCTGACAGTGGGTTAGAGGAAGATCCCAGGGTCAGGCAACAACGGATGAGAGAGATGACTCCCAATGTCCTCATTGTGAGTTGCTGCCCCGTGGACATCGGTAGCCTGGTTTTGCTTGGGTTGTAAGCAGTTTGGGGCACTGGACCCCTCCCTCTACCATCATCTCTGCAGTACCAGGGCTTACTGACCCAAACCAAGGCAAGGCCTTTTATTTCCACAGTGAGTCTCAAGAAGTTTTCTTTATACTCTTTATTTTATGGCTTTCACAAGGAACCTGGGTTCTAATATTCCTCCCGAAGATACTCGTTGAAACCAGGGACCGCAATTTCGTAATTGTTCATTCAAGAGTCTGCATGTTTATATATTATGGCCAGAGGCTCCAGAATGGTTTGGTAGAACTATTAATTCAGGCTTCCGAGGTACACAAGTCCACCACCTTCTGCCTCTGAGGATGAAGTATCCTTCCTCTATCTCCTCCCATCTGGCAGTGGTGACATTGTGCAATTTCACAGAATTTTCTATTGAAACTTAAACTTTAGTCTTTTGCTTCGTGCTTCCGTCATGCCAAAAAAAAAATAGAAGAGATTTTTTTTTTCGGTGTATGTGTCCCCAAACTGTAAACACATATGCCAAATTTGGCATAAACGTATAAGCCAAATTTGAATATGAGACATTGCAGCTGGTCACTCACTAAGTACTTCTTAAAATTATTTGGGCCCTGAGCACAAACAAAACGGGTGACAGTGGGTCTGCAGAGCCACCCTATTCAGCACCCATGGAACCACAGTGCATAGCTCGGAATGAATCCTGCGCAGACTTGAAAACATAACCCAGAGCAGCCTCTCCCTGGGGGTGTTTTCATCTGCAAATATCTTCCAGTAAAATGCTCTATGGCTCATTAGATCGCCTCAGTGAAGACAAAGGTAACATTCTTGTGGTTGTAGAAAGTGGGTTTTCTGTCTTCTAGGCCAGAGCCCTGCAATGAGGTTTTGGTTTTGTGGTTGGTAGGTAGGACAGTTGGACCCCACTGCAGGAGGGGTCACGGCCCTAAGCAACATTCACAGTCTCCTTATTCATGGGCCCTTGACCAAGGGCCCACCGAGAGCCTGGCACGACCCGAGCTTCAGCCTGTGGAATGAAGCTGGCTCAGCCTGTCCGTGAGGAGGCTGCCTGAGGTCCTCTTAGGCGCAATCTTGCCAGGCCTCTGCCGTCAGGGCCCGGGCTTTGTCCCCAGCCTCCTCAGAAACATTCAAAGCTGAGTCATAGAGGCGGGCCCTACCTTGCAAGCAAATGATGTTCCCCACGTTTGCTCGCAATTAGAGTTGAGCCTTTCAGAACGCACATTCCCCGAGCAGCCGTGTCATGCATTATAGGTAGGTTTCCAGGACAGCCCATTAGAAATCTCTTTAACCCCTCCATGGTGGACTGTGGCACCGTTTCTATAGAAGAGAACCTCACTTGTAACAGTGCTCCTAGAGGAAAACACCAGGGTGCCACAAGCATTCCCCCCCTACTTCGTGGCATCACGTAGAGGTGCAGGCACTGCCACTGAGGACACCAGTCATGTTCACTCTCCGCTGCTGGACAAGAGAGAGCCTCTCCACTCTTCAGGTCAGACACAGAAGCTCCCATCCCCTAGGCCAGCTCCAATAAATATGGGCCATTTCTTGTGGGAGACTACCTTTTGTCTGTCCTTCCTGATGCCACACTGGCCGAGTGAAAAGGTGGGTGCCTTGTGCTTTCAGTTCTCCAGGGGAAAAGCCGGGCTCAGCCACAGTCCCTTAGCCTCCTGACAACCAGCAAGCAGGTGGCGAGGCCAGCTGCGTGGCCAGGGCCTGCCCGCGTGAGCCAAGGGCAGCCGGCCGTGGGGCCAGTGGGCTGCTTCCGTGACAGCCGGCTCTTTGCTGTGGGCGGTAGGCTCTCCACAGTGATCCCTGGCCCCTAACAGTGTCGGAGCACCAGTGGCACCCACTCGCCCTGGGTGGAGTGCTCCAGCGTGCGACAGGTCACCCAGGGCTGCTGGGGGATTCCCGGTCCCACCCCAGACCTATACCAAGTCAGCATCTCTCTGGTGGGGTCCCCAGATTTGCATTCATTCAACAACTCCCCAGCGATTCATTTTTCACCCTGCTTTTGAGAACCAGTGGACTGGAGAGAGGCCAGAGGCTGGGTTCTGAGGAGGGCTGTTGCGCTGTTCTCCGGCCTGGACCCCTCTTCGAGCCTCTGCCGGGCGAGGCAGGCGCTTTTCCCCTGGGCAGGTGATGCCGCTCACTCTGAGCTCAGTGCCCGGCTGGGAGGAGAGCTGCCTCTAGAAGCCTGAGGAGGTGGATTAATTTGGATCTTGCAACAGAAGCACCTGCGCTGGTACGCTTGGCCACTCCTTTGA